AATAGCAATGGCCTCCAACCTAATAGCAATGGCCTCCAACCTAATAGCAATGGCCTCCAACCTAATAGCAAAGCCGCTTCTGGCCCAGAAGGCACCCTAGCGTGCACTCTTTTGACGCCATGTGTTGACGTCGATTCAACAAGACTGGCCAGAGCTGGGTCCCAAATCCCAGCTTGTCATGCTTGGGCACCTGTGTTTTTGGCACTTGGCTTTCCTGTGGTGCCTTGGCAGACAAAGCGGCGAGGGTTGCTTCTCTGCCATGGGGGGAAGCGGGAATAGATCCCTCTTGGACTCGTCTGTTCATGGAGGGTTCTATGAAAGAACATGGCTCTACTCCACTAGTGGGCTACGGCCCTAGCAAGCATGATCTGAGGATGGCCAAACCATGTGTTGTCAAACGTAGCTACAAAAGGGCTCTTCGCAGAATTGCCACTCACGGCTACTGTTGGTATAGGGGCCAATGCCTTAACAAAGCGGATGTGCCACCTGCCAGCCTCAATCAGGTGATCTCCCCCACTCAGACCAAGCGGGTCGGCAGAATGGGCCCACGTTGGACCGGACCCTTGCCTCCCAACCGTGCTCACGTCCCCATGCACAGGATTGTTGCTCTAGTTTGGAACCCAGGCGGACTGTCCAGGAGCAAGCTTCAGGAGTTTTTGATCTGGGCTGAATGTCAATCAGCTGGACTTTTCATCCTCCCTGAAACCAGATGGACCTTCGACTCCACCTGGGAGGATGCCAAATGGCTATTTATCCATAGTGGATCTGACAATGGCCGCAGTTCTGGCATTCTGATCATCATTTCGAAGAAGCTTTGCACCGGGAACTTGCTGAGTCATCGTAATATCATACCAGGACGGTTGGTACATCTTCGCATGCACTTGGCCCCCCAGGTACCTGGATGTCCTGGCCTGTTATCAGCACACTGGGCACACTGGAGCTGACCTGGATGCACGAGCTTCCTTTTGGGCGACATTGGATGGGACTCTGCACTCCCTGGCCCAACGCCATGGTTTGGTTGTGGCAGGTGACTTCAACTGCTGCCTCACTGCAGGCTATCCTATCACTGGCACCAATGTCTTCACCCATGGAGGACGCCGTGTCCTGGGCACGCAGCACAAGGATCGTGCCATGTTCAATCAGATTGCACTGACGCATGGATTGGTTGCTTTGAACTGCTGGGATGCCTCCCTGGGTCCAACCTCCTCCAACCCGATTGGAGCAGTCTCCAGGATTGACTTCGTGTTCCTCCGACAGAAGTTCGTGGACACTGCCTCCCGTCGTGCGATTCTTCTTCCTGAGGCGCCTTTTGCACATGACCAAGGTGCACATCATACACCTCTTCTGTGCAATCTCGCCTTGCCAAGCGCTCCAACGGGACCGACCAGGGAGCCGATGCTTCAGCTCAAACACCGGCAGCATGGACGTGAATCACGGTTGACAGGAGCATCTCACTGGCAGTGCTTTACTGAAGATCTCCAACAGGTAGTTGACAATGTGCTGACCTCCCAATCCGGAGCTACTGCAGGCCACACTGCTGGAACTGAGACTTTGGCATATTCAGCAACCACGTTTTCTACTGCTTCGGGGGTGAGTCCTGGTAGCTTTGAAGCGCAACTTGAATCATGTCATGCTCAAGCATTGCAATGTTTTTGCCAGCATTTTGTCAGACCACCAAACATGACACTTCGTGAAAGCAATCCCACTCTTGACACCTCCCTTTCTTCCCTACAGGTAGTTCGATCAAAGTGGACTCATTTTCACGCTTTTCGTAAACCTGCTCTCATAACGGCCATGAATGTCTTTAAAGCCTGGTGGCACATGACACAGTTCACCTTGAGGCAAAAGCAGCATGCAAAGATCGTTCATTCGACCAAGCTGAAACGAGTGGCTGAAGTCATTGAGACTGCGGCCAAGGCCGCCACACATCATGACTCATACACATTGTTCGCATGTATTCGTGCTCTCATGCCGAAGGTCGATAGAAAAATCAAACTCCGCAACACTCATGGTCAACTTATGAGCACGGTGGAGGAAGTTGCTTGTTTTCGCGCACACATCCGCACAACCTGGCAGGGACCAGATCGATGTCCTTCTTTTGGATGGTTGACCACCATGCCTTTTGACAAGGTTGATTTGATTAGTGCCCTTGCCAAGACCCCTGAAGTCAAAGCTGTCGCCCCGGGCCGTGCTCCAGGTACTGTGTGGAGGATTCAGGCTGAGCGCATAGGTGGCTGGTTGTTTGACATGCTGTGCCAGCTGTGGATTGGACGTCCACCTGTCATCCCTCAAAGCTGGAAAGATGGATGGCTTTGTTACATCCCCAAGCCTGGCAAAGCACCTAGT